GGGGGGGGGGCTATGAGGATACCAATAATAACGCAAATGATTCACATACCAGACGGCGATCAGTGGCCGCCCTCCCCAGCGCCCAGCCAAGGATCGGTCCCGCCCCACCCTGGGACGCCCGGATCCCGGCAGACGGCTCCGCACCTGAGAAGCCCACGCTGCAGTGTCCCCGGAACCACGTGCGCCCCGACACGGCCTCCAGCGCCAGGTTGAGGGCCAGGTGGAGGAGGCCGCCCAGGACCGCCAGGCCCAGGAAGGTCACGCCGGCCGTCAGGCTGCCCACCGCCTGCTCCAGCCCCCAGCCCAGCCAGAGCAGGGTGGCCATGTTCAGCAGCAGGTGGCCCAGGGTCAGGTGGTGGAAGGGGGCCAGGAGGAGCCGGCCCCAGTCGCCCTGGTCCCACACCATGCGCACGCTGAGGCAGGCGCCCAGGGGGGGCCGGAGGGGGTGCCAGAAGAGGGCGGCGTTGGCGGCCACCAGGGCCAGGGTGGCCCACGGCACCATGAGGGGCCTTTGCCCTGGGCTGGGGGCCGAGGGAGTGCGAGGAAGGGTTCTGTGACCTCACAGCTGATGCGGCCACGACCTCTGCCCGGCACGCCCCTCCCGGCCCCCGGGCAGCCCCCCCAACCCAGTGCTCTTTGGAGGGCATGGACTCGGTTCTCGGGGTCCGGGTGGCATGGGCTGAAATTGCCCCGCGGTGCTTCTGGCCGGGACTGCAGCCCACGATGGCAGATGCCGGGAGGGTGCCCTTGCGAAGGCGAGGAGGGGAGAGGGGGCGCGGAGGCGGGAGGGATTCCTCTCGCCTGCCTTCCTGGCGCAGACTCCCGTCCCTGGCAGGATGCCCTTGGGAACGGAGGCCAGCGCCGGCACCCACAGAGGAAGGCCTCGCCTCCCCGGCAAGCGGAGCGCGCGGGCAGCCCCGGCCCGGGTTCCTCAACGAGTCGCCGGCCTTGCGGAAGGCGGGCAGCAGGCCCCCAGATCCGCTCTGCGCCAGAAGGCTGCGAGTGGCCCAGGAGCACCTTCCTCTGAAAGATGCAGCCAGGACCCAGGCGAGGGATGCCCGGCCACCTTAGCCGCTGTTCTCATTGAAAGCTTTATTAGAAAGAGGATCGGGATGTGCACGGAAGGATAAGTCCTGCTGAGAGAGAATCAGTGTGGCTTCCACAAAGATCAGTCACTGAGCTATTTGGGTCCTGAGCACAGGAGCACGTTCTTCTCTCGGACTTCCAAAAGGCTTTAGACAAAGTCCCCCCCCGAAGACATCTGGGCGGACTTGGCAGTCATGGAATAAAGCATGCGCAGGGAGGCCATTGGTGGCTACTAGCCCGGTTGGCTACATGCACACCAGAGGCTGCGGGGCTTGGGCAGGGGAGGCCGTGCCCCCGCCCTGCCTGGGGGATCCTGCGGGCAGCCAGTTGGCCGCCATGTGAATGGCATGCCGGACCGGAGGGCCGCGGGCCCAATGCTGCAGGGCTGTTCTTCTGGGCTTGGCTGGGGGGCCCCAGGTTGGGGAAGGCTGCCCCGCAGGGTTCTGTTTCTCCTGTTCCAGGCAGGACCACCAGGGGGCAGCCTGGAGAGGGGCCAGGCTGCCCCGGGGAAACAGCCTTTTCAATGACTAGTGAAATGCAAATTACTTTGATGACATTATTTTTAAATTCGGTTCCTGCCCCTCCTTCCCATGTAAAACGCCCGAGGTAGCCTTGGCCTGCCGGCGGGGAGGGTGCTCGTGGCAGCGGCGTGGCGTTCCCCGTGGCACCGGCTGCTGGGGCCAAGGGCAGCCCGTTTCGACGGCCTGAGCACCCGTGGCTGTCTCTGCCTCCTGGCAAAGGCCTTGGTGGACGTGGGGCGAGCGTGGGGCGCTCCCCATGGTGGCTTTGGCCCTGGGAAAGTGGCCCAAGGAAGGGCCCCTGGGATCCTCGGCCCACGGCCAGAACAGGGGAGACCCGCCGTGGCGGGGAGGACGTCGAGTCTACGAACGAGCGCGGGGCTGGGCTTGGCCCCGTCCCCGGGTCCCGTTTCCTTCTCCGCCACATCGCTGGGTCCTGAGTCCGGGACCCGAGGCCACCCCAAGAGCCGCTCCGTGCCCAAGCACGGGGAGGCGAGCGAGAGGTGGCCCAGGCCCTCTGGCACGCCGGGCGGGCCTCCCTCCCTGTGCGAGCTGCGGGACGGTGGAAGCCGCGGCCTGGCCCTTCCCGAGGGCGCCAGATGGGACGGCTGCTCCGGGCCGCCACCGCTGCTCGCGCACAGCGCTCAGGCGCGCCTCGCCTGGGATCCCAACGCCGGACGCCTGGCCGGGCCACGTGCGCCACCGGCGGAGGCGGTGGCAGCGGCAACAGGAGTGTTTGCCCACAAACGGCCGGCGAGCACAGCCAGCGCCAGGCCCGGGTTTAGTAAACAGGCTGGCGTTGCCACCCCAAACAGCACCGGGCGGCCAGGGCTCCGCTGCCCGGCCCTCCACCACGGGGGAGCCAGGCAGGCGGGGGGGGGGGGCTGAGGTCGGCCCAGGAGGCCTTCCCACCGGGCCCTGGGCTGCGTCCTGGCTCGTGCCGGGCCTGCCACCTCGCCCAGGCCGCCGTCCCGCACCGAGGCGGCACCCCGTGGGGAGCCAGGAGCCCGAGCACGGAGAGGGCCCCGGGAGGCACAGAGCGTGGCTGCAGGGGCCGGGGGAGCTCCGCGGAGCCCACGGGCGGAACAAGCATGCGGGGGCCTGGCCCGGCCCCCAGCCATGGGAGCAGTCGCCACCGATGGCCCTCCTCTCACCGCCCTCCTTCCAGCCTTCCAGAGGGAGGCCACGCGTTCCTGGGAGAGCACCTCTCGGCCTGTGCCTGCTGCCCAGGGCCATGCTGGCTCGGCACGATGGGAGGGGTGGTCCAGCACGGTGGCCGGGCCCTGCGCCAGGGAAGGCTGCACCCCCAGAATCAAGCATTTCACACTTGAGCACAAGAGGGTTCTGCGGGGTCACACAGTTTCAACTGGGGGGGGCGGCTTAGGTGAGTCCAAGCCCCCCCACACACAGTGCCAGGTGAGCCACACCTCTGCAGCACTTCCCTGGGGGGGCCACCGGGAGGAGGGCCCCCACTGGGCCCGTGCCCTGGGGTGGCAAGTCCGGCCGGGGCTTCTGCTGCCCACACGGATCTCCAGGCGCAGCGCTTGGCGGCATTTCCACTGGTCGAGTTGGGAGCTTTGGGGGGAGAGTGGGGCAGGAAGGACCCCCGGCGACCAGGCCCCCCCCAGCCCCTGCTCTTCCAATGTGCGCTGGCGGTGATTCTGGGCGGGGGGCTCCCTGCAGCCAGCTCTGCCGCTGGTGCGGCCACGGGGGCTGCGCTCGGAGACGCGGACGCTGCCCCCCGTCCAGCCTGGCGCGCCCTCGGTGGTGTGGGCCAGACACAGACCCTCCGCCCAGCCGACCTGGCAGGGTTGTCGCAAGAGGAAGCCCTGCAGGCTAGAAATGGGACGGGGCACTAAGCCACCCGGTCAGTGGCTCCGCGTGGGCCGCATCCGTGGGCTTTTTGAGGACTTCTCAGTGGCTGCTGTGGGCAGGCCGGGGGGGGGGGCACAAGCCCCAGCGGAGAGAGACCATATCAGGGGATGCGTGTTTGG